CATCCCTCGTAACACATCCGTCGCACACATTCATCCATTTTTTTGTATATACAAAAACTTCGCTCCGTTGAGCCGTTTCAACCAGAGGTGCGCTAAACAAGGCTAGGTAAATGAAGTCATTCTATTGGTTCTTAACAAACATAACCCTGGGTACGCATGCTCGCACAACTCTGGTGGAATTGCAGACTTAGAGTGTGAAATTATTTTATTCCTTTTATTCTTATGAAGTCGACTCTTACGATTTTAAAATAATAAATTTATTCAAGAACTTAGTCTCAACACTGCAAAGCTGTTTTTTGTAACACTCTGTAAGTTACCAGATCAAGGTCTAAAAATTACAACTTAGGTAAATATTATATAATAATATGTTTATATTGTAAATTTTATTACATAACTTGAACTTCTATCTTAACCGATGCAGTCATAGATAGTAAAGTATTATGATCAGGAATATACAACATAAACTAAAAATTGAGATGAAATTAGGTAAGCTTGTTTGGGGCTTTATAATATAAATTTTTTTTTGTTTGTCTAAAAAACGTTACCTCCACACTAGGATTTTCTCCTGTATCGTAGGGGCAGTTTACATACATAAATTGCACAAGGACAAACATCCAGACCCGGAACAATTATTTGTAGGCCATACAAATACTTGTTCCGTGCGAATTTCGAACCCGCGGCCCCCAGCGCAGCAATTCATTGCTAAGCCACTGTGCCACGGAGCCGTCAAACTATCGTTGTTCAAAGATTATAATATAATCACTACATTCTATTGCTATAAAAAAACATTTTGATCCGTTGCTCCGTTGCGATGAGAAAAAAGGACAAACAAACGAACAAGCTTTCGCATTTGTCGGGATGACACACCAACCGCGTTTCATATAAACTACAGTATTATTACATAGTTATATGCATGCCATCAGGACGCTACAAGGTTCGCTTGCAACAAATACAAAAAGAAAACGAGTGCCAGTATTTGATATGTTGATACTCATCAAGTAAGGTATGTAATAAGATCCTTTTTAAGCTAAGACATACTGTAAATTGAGCATGAATAACGTAGTAATTTTAAATAAAAAATCATTATTTTAATACCTACGTGAACATCGAAACTGACTTACCTTTTTTTAGAATTTATGATAGATTAACAGTTAGAAAACTTTACTTCCACACTAGGATTTTCTCCTGTATCGTGGGGGCAGTTTACATACATAAATTGCACAACGACAAACATCCAGACCCGGAACAATTATTTGTAGGCCATACAAATACTTGTTCCGTGCGGGATTCGAACTCGCGGCTCTTAGCGTTGTGACTTATTGCTAAGCCACTGCGCCACGTAGCCGATATAATATTGTATATTATGAAATATTTTGATTCGGTAGTATGTGGGTGTTTATAATATAGAAGTCGTAAGAGACTGCACTACCCCGTGTCATCACTTGCTTATCGTATCGTGCATATTGAGTCGACGGAAAGAGATGAAACAGATAATGGACAGTACTATCTTCCTGATTAATCAAACTAATAAAATAAATGCGGTTGCCAGACCGTTTGCCAAGCGTGGAGCCTTTGGCTAATATGCCCTCTATGGAACAACCAATAAGAGGAGATTATGTTCAGCAGTGGATTTTCGATGATGATGATTCGATAATGGACGAAAGATTGAATGAATTATATCGAGAACCCTCGCCTGACTACAATTTAACTTTTAATTAATGTTTATTTAAATTTACACATCGTTTAATTTCTTTCATGTTATAATAATTTAATTTCAATAAACTGTACCACTAATTAAAAAATAATAATAATAATTTACAGCATTAACATTAACTTATTAAAAGGGCCAAGTTATCTTTGCGTCTTTTATAAGTGGTCTCTCTTCTGTAGGACAATTTTAATTGCTGTTTTAGTAACGTACTCATAACGATTAACTGGCGCACTGAGAGTAAATTACAGGATTTATACAAGAGATGGGACGGGAATAAGATAGGGCGGAACGATGTGACTTTTAATACAGCTCTTAGAGTACGTTCCAGTGGTAGCTGATTTTAAAAGCTCCTCCCCATGAGGTTATACAATAGGTGAGAATCGACTGACATAATGCGAAATATACTCAACTCATTAATTTAATCAACAAACGGTTTAAAACTTATAAGTTTTATAATGCAATTGTAAATAAAGATAATTGTAATACACCAGCGATACGCCCCTTCTTCGCACGGTTGATTTCCGTATCTTGAAAACAACGCCATCTACCGGGTTCAATTGTGGATTTAAACCATTCTCTAATCTACTTAATCACATACACAAAATATCATCAAAACCAGTAAAGCCGTTTGAGGGGTTCAGGCATAAACACACGGACAGAAGAATATAATATAATATACAATATGCATGTATTATACATATAACCTTTCCTTTGAATCATTCTGTCTACTGATTAAAACCGTATCAAAATCCGTTGCGTAGTTTAAAATAACTAAGCAAACGGCGGTAAGCGATTTTCTTTTATACTCTGTGTAAAACATAATATGTAGTTGTAAATAAAAATAAAAGTAAGCAATTTTGTTTTAAAAGTAGTCTGTTAAGTATCATTTAATTACTAAATAAAGTTCAACTCAGATGACGGCAATGTTTCAGGTTTTTCTATTGCAATTGCGTTGAGAGGCTATATGGCCAAATACTCAAACGCTACTGAATTTGAAGATGTTGTTAAGTATGGTGGTGTCACAGTCTCTTTGACTTAAAGTGATAGAGATAGCACGAGACTTAACGGCCAATTAAGGTATTTTTACCTCACAGTCAACAAATCGCAATCTGACACGGTGAGACTCAGGTGCACGACCAATAATTTAATTCCAACTCTTTGACATTTTGACTTTGCACTGTTTGTACAGCTGTGACAAGGTCGTTTTTTGACTATGACACTAATTAAGTAATATTTTAATTGAATTTATAACATTTTAAAAGTGATATAAAATATATTATAAAACAAAAAACTGTACAAGAAGAAAGAGAATATTAAGACCTATACTTAAAAAAAATTAGGAATACGAAACGTTATTCACATCTTCAAGATCAACAAAACTTCAAGATTCATAAACGTAAAAACTATGATTTTAGATAACTAAGTGTAATATTAAAAAACATAATATCTACTATTAATCTGGACTGATTTTTATTATTGGTGCAGTGCGGTCGTATCTTATGATAGACTAGCTGATACCCGCGGCGACTTCGTCCGCGTTGCTTGATATGTTAACAAGGTTTTCGTATGTGCGAAGGAAAATACATCAAAAAGTGATCTTTTGTGATGTGATCATACAAAATTTATTTGTAAACAATGTTATTCATTGCTCCGTTTATAGCTAAAATACATAAATTATCTGGTTTAGTAACGCGAGAGCCAGCGACGTACATAGTCTAGTCAACAAGTTGAAAAACGTGTTAATTCTTGTTCCCGCTCTTAAAAATATGTGCAACTAGAAAAATGTATCTCGAGGATTTATTAGCACATAAAAAATTGCAATTGTTATTACTAAATAAGATGAAAAAAAGATATTTAGATTTTCTTTAACAACTAAAATATTATTTTTATTTAATGCCGAAAATAAGACTGCGCAACTGTTACCGCAACCGAGTACTGAGCGCTTTTCCCAAGTTTTCGCTAAGATTTCAAAAAGTGAAAAAGAAACATAAAAACAAATAAAAAAAAAGCGAAAAATATTGATTATTTGAAATAAAATAAAAATAAAGACCGTGTGAAAAAAATCCTGTTACCTTGTTTGGTTGTAGTAGGTGCTTACTAGCTGCTCTACACCTCCTCTAACTCAGTTGCGTTAACGATCACTAGTAGCAGTGGTATTGCACATCACTGGAGGGAGGTGGTCTTTAAACAACTTTCTTTTTAATTGAAGTATGGATAACAAATAAGAACACAGTTACTTGATGTGATTCGAATGCTGTGCCCCATAGAAACCTACATTTATCCCCAATAAAATCAAAATGCAGATGCGTTGTCACCCCTAAGGAAATGTTGGGAACCCCTGATGGAATGCGTCGTTACCAATAAAAAGGGTCTCCTGTTCTCTACACTCGCCTTACAAAACACCGCAACATTCAGCTGCTATTTCACGCTAGCATATTCCCATTCTTGCTGAATGCGTAATTTGCTACAGTGTGGCTCTACTACGTAAAATATGTACGATTTTAGTGCACTGTTACTGATTTCCGCAAATTAATCCAGATTATATTTTAATATACTTACTATATTTTATTAAGTTTATTACATCAAAATCATATAAGGGGTTGAGTGTGAATAATATACGAAAACTTTTTAGACCCATGCTGCAACTATATTAGTAGTACAGTTGTAGCACGAATGGATCGGCTCGACCGGGGAAGGACCACGCTCTCACAGAATACCGGCGTAACATAGACGCTTAACGCTGCTGTGTTTTGTGTATGGTGAGTGTAGAGAAGCGGAGACGCTTTTTACTGTCCTCACAGTCGTCACGGGTGACAACGCATCTGCATTCTGATTCGTAATCGAGGATAGATGTAGATGTCTATGGGCCGCAACAACCACTTACCATCAGGTGGACTGTGTGCTCGTTTGAACCCTTATGTTATAAAGAAAACCAATCGCAATAATTTACCCGCCGAAACTAACCGAAACTAACTAACTTTACTGGACGATGACAATAAGACGTATATCGAAGTGATTCCGTAAGAGTTTAGTTTTTAACTCCCGACACAAACAGCCCCTCTGTTTATATAATGTACTCGTATCTGTGTATCGGTTTGTCTCTCTGTGGTATCGTAACTCCCTAACGGATAAACTGATTTAAATTTAGATTTTTTTTTGAAAGGCAGCTTGATCGAGAAAGTTCTTAGCTTTGATTAAAGAAAATCTTTCCAGCCGTTGAAGACTATTTAATATTATGTTAACTTTGGTTTGTTACGTCATTATAAATAATTACAATTGGAATACGTACCCACTATAGCACCAACGTAAAGCAATGATCCAATCCAGGACACTTGAAGCTCTGTGATTAATTCCGGTAAGGGTGTCTGATCCGGATCTTGTAACTTTGGTATGATTGGGGCCGACCAACCAACACTATATCCATCTATAAACTGGCCTATATTCACTGGAAGTAAACAATAAAATAATGTAAGAAAAGTCTTTCAATAAAATTTTACAACGGTTGAAAAACGTATTAAAAATAACTTATTGTTATTCCAAATACTCTACACATTATTAAAATAATATGTTATTTTATATTTTTTTTATTATATTTTCATGTACTTATAAAATTACAAATAGTAAAATATTATAAATTTATAATGAACATAATGTACCGAAATCTATTTTTATGTCTTGCAAATTATCATAAAATCTAGGCACCATATGTAGAAGTATTTTTTAATTTTTAAGAAACAATATTTTGTATTTATTCACTGTTTTAAACTGACTTTCTACCGACTTCAAAATGGAGGAGGTACTCAATTCGACTGTATGTTTTCGATGAATATTTTTTTATTTGAAAGCTGGTGCTTCTCATGTGGTCCCACAAATTTGACCAAGGTCTGACCAATAGTATTTGAGTTATTCTTAATCATTTATATTGAAGTCGATTGTAAAAAAAATTTTAATTTTTTTTTTGTTATCCTTAAACAAGCTCCTAAATATTTAATTTTGTCTCACTTACCACACGAAACTATAAGAAGTTGTGTTTTCAAATACTGATTCATTGTGAAAATAGAAACAGACCGGCCCCAAATGTACACAATTCAAATTCCGATTTACATTTATAAACTGTTAAAATAAATCAAAATAAAAACCGTAATTAAATACGGTAACGCGTTAATTTAAATACAGTTCTATAAAACCTACTGACTAGCACAACACATTTCTGGTAAGAACCACAGACAAATATGTACTAAGCTCAAAGTCGCTTACTTATAATAAAACATCAAGTATAAACCGGAACATTTGTCATGTAATAACGGCCAAATAAAAACATAGCGACCATTCAAGTCCAGACACTCGCTAAGACTTGCAGCACTCTTTAGGAAAATCTCTACTAATAACCCTCTAAATGTCTAAAATGGTAACAATGACCATATTATTAATATAAAAATATGTTTACAGTATATTAACAGAAATTCAATTAAATTTATTTTCTTAATTACCTAATTAATAATGCGAGTAAGTATAAAAAATATATTACAAAAGTTTTGTAATTTTTTAATAAACATAATGTTTATTCTATATCCAGGGGTTTAATTATTTTGCTTAAAATTTAAAGTTATATATTATATAGGAAAATTATTACGTTTAAAAAAATTATTCATTTAGAAAAAGATATAAATGTTTTCGTAAAACATTTGTACAAAAAATATGTAGACATTTTTTGACTTTTAAATATCGAATATTATTAATTGTGCGATATATGTGAGATATATATTATGCGATACGTTGTTACAACGTTAGCACACCAGAAAGTAGTGCAGTGGCGATGTAAAAATATCCACTACCCCATATCATAACGTGGGTGTCATAAAAGGTGACAGAGGGAAACAGTTGCGCGGCAACTGTGCCAAATATTCCCCCTATGAGGCAGTTTATGGGGAGGCCTATGTCCAGCAATGGACTTTTATGGGTTGTAATGAATGGATAGATAGAGGTAGTGTAGGCTGTGACAATGTGACAGTTGAGGTGATTGGGATCCAGGAACTGCGACTTCGGTATAACCCTTACCCATGTAGTGTATACTCAATGATGTTTGAAAATTATTTTTAGAATGTTAAAGTGAGAATAGTCTACGTGAGTATTTTACGCCTGGCGTAAACGAGATGGTAAAACCACCATCTATCGCTATCTTTAGATTTTTCTGGCAATTCCCATATTTTCCTCTTATACCACCCGCAAGATAGATTCTATTACGCCACTACTACATGACACAACTTGTAAAACACTATCATCTAATAACTTGACACTAAACACTTGACTACATTCAACAGAGAGCGTCTCGAATCGTCAACAAGTAAGTTCTCTCCTATCGGCTTGATCCACTAGCCTTGCGAAGAGGCGTTGCACCTCTGTGCATCTTCTACTGACAACTAATAATAACTAGCTACTAACTACTTCCACTTGACTACATTCAACGGAGAGCGTCTCGAATCGTCAACAAGTAAGTTCTCTCCTATAGGCTTGATCCACTTGCCTTGCGAAGAGGCGTTGCACCTCTGTGCATCTTCTACTGACAACTAATAATAACTATCTACCAACTACTTCCACTTGACCACATTCAACCTTCAACGGAGATTGTCCAGATTCGTCAACAAGTAAGTTCTCTCCTATCGGCTTGATCCACTAGCCTTGCGAAGAGACGTTGCACCTCTGTGCATCTTCTACTGACAACTAATAATAAACTAACTACCAACTACTTCCACTTGACCACATTCAACGGAGAGCGTCTAGATACGTCTACAAGTAAGTTCTCTTCTATCAGATTGATCCACTAGCCTTGCGAAGAGGCGTTGCACCTCTGTGCATCTTCTACTGACAACTAATAATAACTAACCACCAGCTCCTTCCATTTGATCACATTTAAAGGAGAACGTCTTGAATCCTCAACAAGTAAGTTCTCTCCTATCGGCTTGATCCACTATCCTTGCGAAGAGGCGTTGCATCTCTATCCATCTTTTACTAAGAACTAATAATAACTAACTACCGGCTCCTTCCACTTCATCACATTTAATGGAGAACGTCTTGAATCGTCAACAACAAATTTTTCTCCAATCGACTTGATCCACAAACTTTTTCTAGGGAAAAGTCTTTGCATCTCTGTGCATCTTTACCGCATATATCACGGGGAGTACTCAGAGTGATTGTTTGTAAGAATTTCAGCTGCTGAATCCCACCACAGTATACTGTGAAAGAATTTGAAACTCAACCAGGTTAGCGGTCCACAACCGTGCGTTTTACGCCGATTTTTTCCGGGAGCTCACTTCTTTCTAAATGGCCTGCAACGCACCTGCAATAACTCTGGTGTTGCAGATTTTTGAGCGATGCGATGATGATCACTTGCCATCAAGTAACCATCAAGTAAAGCAGAGGCGAACGAGCATATCGTTCGCCTCTGCTTTCTTATATTAAATAAAGCAACTAGTAATTTTACGCGACGTTACTACCACCTAGTACAACATTATACTGTACAATGAGACAATGATTAATATTAACAAAAAAATAATTCGTTTAATTTGCGAATGTTTGACAATACACTAAATAGTGCAATAACTGTCCTATACAGGACTCGCACAAAAACGTACTCTCATTTACACGGCAGTAAATTTCCCTGATAAATGTTATTGAAAAGAGCTAAATACTTTTTTAAGTGAATGTCCTGACCCCATTTTCTTTTTTGTTTCTTTATCCTTTTTGCGGCCGATTAAAAATAATCCTCTATGGTTAACGCAACCGACAATTAGCCATCATAAAAATGTATTATTTAAAAATAAAAAACACTTTAAAAATTAAAAAGATCTATTTAATATGGCTTCCTTAGATAGTTCATAATTGTCTTTTTAGCATTGATTGTTATACAAGTACGTAGAATTCGTTTTACACCGTGACATAATGAAGCGATTATATTTTCGCCACGTAGCGCTGATAGCAGAAGTGAGCGTCCACGGAACTACTAATAGAGATAGGACAACACCATAACCCTGATTCAGTGAGTAAATAGAACTCCTTGACATATGGCATGTAACGATTATGTGTATTTGAAAATTGTAAGCTATATAATGTTCTATGAGGCTACCGTGATATATATTACAAGTGACACCATCTAGTGAATAAATAATAAATGTTGAAAAATAACAAACCAGAAATAATTATTTAACAAAACCTTACTCTTACTTATACCTCATATAAAACAAAAATCGTCGCTGCGTTAGTCTACGTTTTTCTTTGTTACTATAGAACGGGATTTGTTCTGGGTTTCAACCCTATTGAATTTTATTGTTTATCAAACATATCAAAATTAAAGCCAAACATGTTAGTAATTATATTTAATAAGATAAGTGACCGATTTTTAAGAGTCTATCAATCAGAGAGTTTATATTCAAAATTAAAGCTAATTGATAATATATCAAATAGTTTTAATTTTGAATATAAACTGTAAATCCCCTTACTTGTGGAATGTTACCACAATTATTATACCCATCTGGTAATGAATTTTACATTTCACGCACATTATCATTGTTACTAAAATTATTTCTATTGTATTACTAACATGAAACACAACCCACCACAATGCACTCGTTCAAAACTTTAAAATACTCTTACACGTTTTGAACAAAACAACGGCCATTTGCAAATTATGTCAAATTTAGTTCCCGATACAGTCAATGGTGGCGCTTCAAACGGCACAAATATCTTGTAGGTACAGCCAGTCCAGCATTCTAGTATATATGGAGGTCAGTGATTTATAGGTATAATTGTAAACTACAGATATTTTTAAAAATCTTTTTAAAAATATCTGTAGTTTACAATTCACATCTGTGAAACCATATGTTTCACACTTACCATGAGTAAAAATAACAATTTCTAAGTGATCAAGTTACCATAATCAAATGCAAACTTGCATTAATGCATTTGATTATGGTAACTTGATCACTTAGAAATTGTTATTTTTACTCACAAAGTTGCGTTAAAAATATTATCTCCATTTTTGTGCACATCCAAGGTACATTTACGATAAAGTGCTGACTCAAGTATATCTGTTCGGTATCAGCCAAAGAGATAAAGTGTGCTGAAGACTGAAATACAATATAAAATAAATGACAAGTAAATAATTTTTATAAGCTCCTTTCACATGGACCTACTATCATGATCTACAGATGGATTCGAAAAAAATATTTTCCTCTTTGTTCCACCTATGGACAGGCCGCTGCATTTTTGAAAACTTGAAATTGATTGTTCCGGTTCTGGGTGTGCGTTTTGATGCAATTTACTTATCTAAACGTATATATAAGTCTAAACACTCAAAAATTAAAAATATAACAATTTTGAATCTGATAGCAAATTTTGGTACACAAGCACATAATTTCATTATCACCGAATTAGTTAATTTATTAACAAATACTGTTCACAAGCAAATGTCTGTGTTCATAAACAAACGTATATCAATATATAAATCAGTCAGACTTTCGCGCAGGCCTTGATAAAAGTCACCGACAATGACGACGAATGGGTGAGCAGAAACTTACAGCGTTAGTGTTTGTTGATTCTATACTAATCTTAGATTCTCATTCATAGATTTGGAATGGTTTTCTCCCTATCTTCAGCCACCAGCAATCGATACGATTAGGACAAGAGTTTTAATAGTAGTTAGGCGGAATACTTTCTCCTATAACACTTTCTTTATTTATAAATTCTAATACTTCAGTTCTCAACTGTTCATACCATATGTATGCTGATGATCTTTGGTTCTATGTGCAATTCAGTGTTTACGACTTTAACTATAATATTAATTAACACAACTCAAACCCTGATGCCATAAGAGATTGGTTATACAGACACGGTGTTTCAGTTTACCCTTGCAAATGTAAAGTAAGGGTTGTAGGATGTTAGCTAAGATCGATAACCATAATCTTTCTCCTGTATTTTGAAATGGAACGTTGCTGATATTTTGTAACACTGTCAAAAATATTGGCTTGCATATACAGACCAAATCTTAAGGTCG